TTCCTTCTCGGGTTTTTCCTAATCAAGCAAACCCTACCATCTGTACTGTCCTAATTATATGGACATAGAAAACCTAAATTATCGTTGTTTTGAAAGAAATGCTTTTTTGGGGTTTCTGGGTTTCAGTGACAATTTTTTTTTAACTCACCAATTAGCCTAGCCCAAAAGAAGCACTGTAAGGCTTGTGTTATGGGTAGCTAAGGTAATCGGATAGAATACATAAAAATAGACTGTACATATATAAGTATCTTTATATATATAATTCTTCTGCGAGTGTGTATGTCACTGAACTTCTCTTAAACGACTGGACCGATTTTGATGAAATTTTTTGTGTGTGTTCAAGGGGATCTGAGAATGGTTTAGATTCACAATTTTGTCCGCTGGACAACCCCTATTTTTTTAGGGCGGTACGAAGTTCGCTGGGTCAGCTAGTATTTATATAGAAATACATTCATGACTGGAGTACGAATGCTCATATTCATCACACAAACATCTGCTTCCACCGTGATTCGAACCCGGGACCTCTCGAGTCAGCCACACCATGACGTATTTGAAGGTGTAATCCTATTGGCACAAGAAAAATAAATACAAATTGTAACAGCATAATATCAAGGGGGTCTATACAAGACGCAAACCATGTGTCTATCTTCTCGGCGCGACCGACAAGAATCGTTGTCCCTTCTGCCGTTTCCGAAACCAGTTTAGAAAAAAGAATTATAATTCTTTTTTGGAAACCGTTTTCAAAATCAGAAATATATTTCATTAAATAAGAAAATAGTTTCGATAAAATATGAATAATTATTCGAAACAACTTCAAAAAAGAATCTTCTTTGAATAGAAATAATTTCTTGGCACTTATGAATTGAAGACGTCATCCCCTATCAACATATTATATATATAATACAATTATGTGTAAAAAAAATATCGTTTTATTAGGCGTCAAAATCGTATATTTACTTTGTACTAGATTGAACAACATTACATTACATTACGATTGTCTTGAATTTCTATACTTCGAATTGCCTCCTCGTGCTCTTATTACTGCGTTTACCCGGTTTGGCATGCTGTACACCAAGTTTCTTACACGATTTTGGGCAATATTGCAACACGAAGCGTAATTGGGGGAGGGTTTCGTTCTTTTACGCATCTCCCAAGCTCGTCCCAAGCATGCTCGATCGGGTTGATATCCAGGCTGCGTGCTGGCCACTCCATACGAGTAATGTCCATCTCTTTAAGGTAGTCATTCACAATCCAACCTGTATGGGGTTGGGCATTGTCATGCATTAAAATAGCATCATCACCCAAATTGACCATAAATGGACCAACGTGTTCATTCAAAATTTCTTCCACATATCTATCGCTAGTTAAAGAGCCGTTTTCTATGAACACCAGTTCTGTGCGACTCTCAGAAGAAATTCCGGGCCACACAAGTACAGGCCCACCACCGTAGGCTCTTTTTCTTTGATGCATGCTTGCTTGAATCTTTCCCCAGGTCTTCTATATACTCTGTGTCTTCCATCGTGCTTGTAGAGCATAAATTTTGATTCGTCAAAGAACATAACATCAATAGTCCAGTGGTTCTGGGTCTTGAAATATGATGCCCACGCTCCAGTTTAGGACCGTTTGCAGGTCTAAGTGGTTTCAAGCTAGCTTCAGCAAGTCATCGTCTTACTGTCCATGCTCTTGGGTTACTTCCTCCGAGGCGTCGAAATTGATTTATAATTTCAGTTCCTGTGAAAAAGCGATTTCGAAACATGGTGTTCACCAAGTATCGATCTTCTCGTGCTGTGGTACACCTGGTTCTGCCTGTTCCTGGTCTGCGTTCAGGTTTGAGTCAGTTTCCTCGTAACGTTGGAGAACCCTTTGTACTGTTGACAGCGACACACCGACAGTCCTGGCTGTATCGCGCTGACTCCGGCCGGTTTCCACCATTGTCAGAATTCTGATGCACTCTTCAGGTGTTAGCGATATGATTACAACTTGAATAATTTATATTGAACTTATATGAACGATAAATGACAGATTAGAAACAAAAACAAATGCAGTAATTTCGTAGTTCCATCTTCGAAAGTCTCTCTTTTTCAAATTTCATTTTTTATGATATTACTTTACAATAACTAAGAAGTTTTAATATCTTCATTTAAGGAGTATTTAATTGTCTATTAATAGAATTTATTTAATTAAGCTAGCACTCTTTAAGTGACCCGGATTCATTGCTTTCGAGTGTACTTAAATACCGATAAAATGGCTTTTATTTTATTTTTATAGAATAGCTTTATTTTATTTGAAATCTTAACAGAAATAATAACACGAAGAACACTATTTTACAAGGTTTTTTACCCATATCTAAAATAAATGTGAATCAGTAGTATAATCCCTATGTTAGTTATTGAAGTGGGAAAAGAATAGGACGTCAAGTTTTTCAAATATTTACTATATTTGTTTTTAACAATTTTTTATATACAAAAAAATCAAAAATGACACAGATAACTTCTTCTTTTATACTGATTAACATCTGTTTCTCTTAATATAGACCAGCAGTAATCACCTAACATATTTGTATCCCAAAAACCTTGGTACCTCTCTTCATAAATCTTCAAATCTTGATGAAAACGTTCACCATGTTCATCGCTTACGCTTCCCAGGTTCTCAGGAAAAAAACGCGGTGCGAATGTAGAAAATGAATTTTTAACGACATATTCACCCCCATCTTATGGTAATTCTTCAACAAATTGGAAACAATTTCTTCATAATCTTCTAATTTATGGTTGCTCAAGAATTTTTTTACTACTGCGTTAAATGAATACCTAGTATCTTTTCCGACACTGGATATGTGACTATCAATTTTTTTTATCTTTTAATGTCTTTCTTATTTGCGATATGTTTTCTTCTCACAATTGCAAGATTTATCTTACAAAGTCAACACGACACCCGAAAGTATCGTAAAGATGAGCGTTAAAAAAATTGACATGACGCTCTAAAAGTCTTCACCCATATAAAATTCAGTGTGGGGGCTGACAATGAGATTGGACGTACCAAGAGCGCAGAAGGCAATTGGAGGCATACAACAAAATGCACACAACATTAACAATAATCATCTTACGGCCACTTCAAGGCTAAGTGTACACAGTGCACATGCGCATTGTGTCATTGTTGCTGCAGTTGAAAAGACCTAGTGTTCAATTATGAAAGGGTTTAATTATTTCAAAGGAAATTCATTAACTGGATTTTTTTCGCAGATTAACAAAATGGCATAAAAAACAATATTTTTTTCCAAAAAAAAGTTGAATATCTATCCTTTTTAATCAATATTTCATAGATAATAATATCTATGAAATATTGATACATAAGTATCAAATGGCGCACATCTCGGTTTCACGAGACGTTGCCAGCTCTCCTAGGACGTATCTACGACTATATCTCATAGTAGGTGTTTTGTGGAAAATACTATAACTACTTATACCTAAATAGATATTAATTTTCAATACCAGGCAATAAAGAGCCACAAACTATTGTTTTCGTCTCTCTCAACAAAATCATAATAGGTGTCGGATTTGTTACTTGGTTCAATATCGCCCATCAGTTCATATTATTATTATGATATTTTGTATATCATGTTGTGGATGTTGTGAAAATATAACCTGTATTTCATTGTTGTTCATTGTTTGCCGAGGCCAAAGCCCTCTCGGGGAGGACACAGTTGACCATTGGAAACATCGTAACAATTACATTATTACTTTCACAAATCATAACACGTTATCTGAAAATACGTCTTTTAAATCAACGCGTTTTATCATGTTACAAATAGCCCAAGAAACAGAGATCGCGGTTAAACTTGATCAAACAAAAAAGCGCTCTACAATTTTTTTCGTAGAATCAGTAATTTCGGAGATATAGCGATAAACTCGTTTTCCAGTATGGCGGCCAGTTGTGACCACACTACATTCCCCGATTTATAAACTTAAACTTTTTACGACCTACCCTAACGTGTAAAAAAGCTAGAGTGCGGTAAAATATTGTTATTTGACTTTATTGCTTGGGCTAAAAGGTATTATTATAATATGAATAAAGGTGACAGTAACATTAAAATTAAAACTGGTCTAGTAAACTTGCAAACGGCTTGCGTATCGTCGTACAAACTTTTATAAATTGGGAAATACAGCGATTAGAAAAAAGTAGAAACAATCATTTTTATTTTTAACCCCTGACTGAAAAACAGTGGTGTTATAACTTTAACGTGCTTGTGTATATTCTCTCTATAATATTGATAATGACTTAATTTTTTACCTTCCAACCCACCCATTTTACCTTCGTTATACATGCTTACATAATTTCCTTTCTAGGAATTTTTATATAATAGGTTGGGGACAAATCTTATCGCATTATAGTATGTGTGAACTTGTAATAAAATCTCTTTGGCTATACCATTTGTATCTGGCTGGTTTTGGTATCATTAAAAAAAAAAAATGGTTGCCTGTAAAGTCGGTTTTACGGGCGAAGATTTTACGTGACAACGTCTTTTTCTCGGTAGAATATTTATTGATATGAATATAATTAAATTGCACAATAGGAACAAGGAATTGAATGAAAATAAGAATTGCACAAATTTTAACTATAGAAATATATTTTGTTTACTAAAACATTGTACATGTAAACTTAAACTTAACACGAGAGACTCATCGTAACGTTACCGAGCGTTACACTTTTTCATAAGTGACTCCCAGCCGCAACCTAATTTAAGACGTTGTCACGTCAAAAAGAAGATAATTCCAAATTCAAATTAGAAAAATGTGTAATGTCCATTTGTTTTTCTTACTGTCTAGATGAGTGAATCTAATGAAGCAATTCGATATATTAGACTTTTTGGCACCAGATTTGTAAATATTCCCTGGGTGGAATCCAAACACGAAGGCAGCACGATGCAGCAGTTTTTAGCTTCAACAGCAGCCAACCTCACCTGTTGCTCACCACAAGTTGCTTAGTTACTAATTTTATAACAGGACATCTGTATATCAGCAATGAAAGAGAAGGACATTGAAGCAAAGCTGCGTCAGGTCACCAACGAGTGGTCGGTGCACGAGCTGACGTTCCAGACCTTCAACAACAGAGGCGAGCTACTTCTGAGGGGAGACACCACCGCGGAGACCATCGGGCAGCTGGAGGACAGCCTCATGATCCTGGGATCGTTGCTCTCTAACCGGTTCTCATGAGATCACTACTTATCCCTACTTATTATAAAACAAACTCCCTCGCCGCGTCAGCCTCTCTGTATGTGAGCGATCTTAAAAATTACTGGATGGACTTTCATTTGGCTTTCACCATCTCTTAGAAATTTTTCAGGAATGGTTCCTAATATACAGGATGGTCCAATTAGTGACGTCAACAAGTTTTTTAGATTCCTCTTACCTGGGGATATCCGAAAATACCCCATGTATGTTCCGAGATTTTTAATGATTTGTGCCAGCGAGGTTTCAAAAATTCATATCTTTTTGCGTAGTAGGTATTTTGCAGTCTTTTTTGTGACATAATTGCCTTGAATGTTGTTTTAATAAAAAAAATAACTCAGCTTCCTGAAATTACTCAAAGTTACACAAAAAAGGCTTGAAGGTTGGAACTTTAGTTTTTAGTAGGACTTTTTCAAACATTCAACTTCAATTTAAAAATACAAAAAGGAGTTTCCATAGCTTCTGGCTAAAATTAAAAACTCCGCATGCTTCTAAACTACCAAAAATCATAAAAAAAATGTCCTTAATTAGCCTATTTTTGTTGTAATTGGCCTTCGAAGGCGGATAGGCTAAAAATAATTGAAACACGATTAAAGCATTAAACATTTTTTTTTTACTTTTTATCATTCTTATGGTAAATTAAACTTAAAAATGTGATTTCAAATTAAATTTAATGGAAATTCCGGTAAAATAACTTTAGCATGTGGAATTTTATAATAATTTCGGTTTGCGGAACATAATGCTATTTTCGGATAACCCCAGGTGCGAAGAATCTAAAAAAAATTGTTGACGTCACTAATTCGACCACCCTGTATATATCCAAGAACAAAAACTATAGTCTACACCTCTTTCTGTGTTCTGTGGCCTACACCGACCGAGGCTAGGTCACAAGTTTTACTATAAAAAAACCTTTTTTTATTGTATACTAATTAATAAAAAAATTATAAGGTACACTTTTAATAACTCCTTAATTGATAGCCAATCTACAGGATTGACAGAAAGAGGTGTAGACTATAGTTTATGTTCTCAATTCAGACAAGATCTCTCGGAAAAGTTGAAATTTTTACATTTGTATGTGGATTTACATAATAACAAAAAGTTTTTATTTACTTTAGCTACAACGCTCCATTCCGCAAGCAAATACAGCAATGGTTATTCGATCTACAGAGCACCAACGAAATATTGGAACGTTGGCTCCTTGTTCAGAACATGTGGGTTTACCTGGAGGCGGTGTTCGTCGGAGGTGACATAGCCAAGCAGCTGCCGAAAGAAGCCAAGAGGTTCTCCAAGATCGATAAGTCCTGGCAAAAGATCATGCAAAGGGCACACGAAACACCCGGCGTGGTTTCTTGCTGCGTTGGCGACGATTTACTCAGACAACTGTTACCCCATCTACAAGAACAGCTTGAACTTTGCCAGAAGAGTTTAAGCGGCTACTTGGAAAAGAAACGGACAATGTTCCCCAGATTTTTTTTCGTATCAGACCCAGCTTTGCTCGAGATCCTCGGACAAGCCTCCGACTCTCATACGATACAAAATCATCTTCTCTCAATTTTCGACAATATGCGCTATGTCAAGTTTCACGATATTGGTAAGTTTAATACGATAAATGAGATTATCTGCCCAATCCAGAATCTGATCTTAACCGTATATTTGGTTTCGGCTTTTCGTTGTACATTGTGGAACACGAAACAAAATTCGAAGCAAAATAAACACAGCAGACACTTTGATTTTTATCATTTGGATCATATTCGAATCGTATTGCTTGCAGAATACAACAAGATGATAGCGATAGTGTCGTCTGAAGGAGAGGAGATCAAGTTAGAGCGGCCGGTGCGCGCCGAGGGCTCCGTGGAGACCTGGCTGACGTCATTGCTGCAGTCGGCACAAGGCAGCATCCACTCTATCATACGGAACGCTGTAGCCGTCCTCAACGACCCGGGCTTCAACCTACTGCTGTTCCTGGACAAAATGCCAGCTCAGGTAGTATCATCATCATCAGCCTACTAATGTCTCGGAGACCTGGCTGACGTCACTGCTGCAGTCGGCACAAGGCAGCATCCACTCTATCATACGGAACGCTGTGGCCGTCTCCTCAGCGACCCGGGCTTCATGCTAGTGATGTTCCTAGACAAATTGCGGGCCCAGGTAATATCATCAGCCTACTAATGTCTCGGAAACCTGACTGACGTCACTATTGCATTCGGCACAAGGCAGCATCCAAGGGCGGATCCAGGGGGGGGGGGGGGTCATGGGGGTCATGACCCCCCCTGGGCTGGGTACAGATGGACCAAACCCAGGGGGATTTTATTTAAGTACTTTCAATATTTAATATACTACGACTATATGAGGCCCCCCTGGCGCCAAAGCTGGCTATCTGACCCCCCCTGGCGCCAAAGCTGGCTATATGATCCCCCCTCCTGGGGCCAAAGCTGGCTATATGACCCCCCTGGCGCCAAAGCTGGCTGTATGACCCCCCCCCCCCCCTGGCGCCAAAGCTGACTATATGACCCCCCCCCCTGGCGCCAAAGCTGGATCCGCCCTTGGCAGCATCCACTCCATCATACGGAAAATAATATTTCAAATGTCTGGCTATAACAATTTCTGACTTAAGAAACTTTTGAATTTTAATCATAATTAAAATTCAAACAAGTGTTTTTGTAACTCGAAATTAAAATTATATGTTAATACAACGCTCATATGAATTCTAAAGGCTGTAATTTTTTTAGATTGGCCTCCTGGGTATCCAGTTAATTTGGACTCGAGATGGAGAATTAGCGTTGCAACAAGCTCGCTCAGACAAAAAGATCATGATGGAGACCAATAATAAATTCTTGGAGCTTCTGAACACCCTCATTGACCAGACGACGAGAGATTTAACTAAGATGGAGAGAATCAAATTCGAGACCCTCATCACAATCCACGTCCATCAGAGAGACATATTTGATGTGTTGGTAAGATTACTGTTAAAGTCCATTTTGCATTATGTTCATTATGTTATATTGTTCTTAATACTTCGAAAAGCTACTTACTAACGAAAGCCGCAGGTTCCAATCCTGCGTGACGTATGGACCTGACTGAGTCGAATGTTTTCTGATAGAATTTTCGTTTGATGCTTCAAATAATAAAAACATTGTTCTTCGAAATGTGATTTTCTGGGATATTTTTAAAAGTACGTCAAGCATATGGCCCATCTGATGATATGCGGCTACCATAAATCATGACTAGCTCCCCCCCCCCCCCCGATTTATAGTAAGTTTTCTAAGGACCCTAAATTATTACTGTGCTTATTTGTGCCAAATTCATCCAAATAGGTAGTAAGTAGGATGATAATGATATCATAGATGACAGTAAAGTATATAATCAGGAGTAGCAGTATCGCTTCGACAAAGGAAATCTGGCGATTTAAGTAGTAGTACACTAGATTATAGTGTCATTGTACGATGGAGGACCGCTTTCTCTGAGGTGCTTCAAATAGATCAGAAATCTCAAGACATCTCAAAATCATTGTCTTTACAGTGTCGTCTCAACGTACGGTTACCGACCGATTTCGAATGGCTGAAGCAGTGCAGATTCTACTTCAAGGAGGACGCAGATAAGACTTGGATATCCGTAACCGATGTAACCTTTACCTATCAAAATGAGTATTTAGGCTGTACTGACAGGCTTGTCATCACTCCGCTCACAGATAGGTAAAAGATTAAATTATAAAAATTCCACTTATTATACCTGCACGACTAAGTTTAAAAGTAGAAATGTAGATGGTTTACCTAGAACAGATTTTGCAGGGTGAAGAACGAGTACCTAGTTTTTTACCTACTATTTATGGCCATTCCTTACCGTAGATACCAATTACAAGTTCTTTTTATGAAACAAAACCGACGCTAATCTTATTTTTTTAAACTAAACCTATAAACCCGGGTTTGAGGATTTTATGTAATACACATTAGGCAAACCATGTCTTAGAAATTTAAAGTTCCGGAAAACAGCGATGTTCTTTTCGCTGTTTTAGTATTCGGGTAGAACTATCAACTTATATTCTTCTTCATAGATGCTACATAACGCTCGCTCAAGCGCTCGCTATGAGTATGGGTGGGGCGCCGTGTGGGCCCGCTGGCACTGGCAAAACGGAGACGGTCAAGGATATGGGCAAGACCTTGGCTAAGTACGTGGTCGTGTTCAACTGTTCCGACCAGATGGATTACAGGTATGTCTTACGGCCAGTTTATTCAACTTCATAGATGTTCCATATCGCTCTATGAGTATGGGCGGGGCGACATCCGGTCCCGCTGGTACCGGCAAAATGGAAACGGACAAGGATATAGGCAAGACCTTAACCAAGTACGTAATCGTCTTAAACTGTTCTGACCAGATGGATTACAGGTATGTGTTACGGCCTTTCAACTTTATAGATGCTAATAACTCTCGCTATGAGTATAGGCGTAGCGCCGTGCAAACCCGCTGGTACCAGTTAAAAAGTCATTTATCATTTACATGATCAGCCTTCCAATGTTCCTAATAGGGTTCATACACGAGTGGCTCGCAACTGATGGCAGCGGCAACTGCAACTGTCGCCACTTTTTGACAGCAGCCGTCGACGAGCTATCAGTGTCGGTCGATCGACGGCAACCGTCGAATGGTGGCGACGGCTGTCGTCGGCTACGAGCCGCTGGTGTATATGAAGCAAACCACATTACATGAAGGCCTTCTTTGGAAGGAGAAGTGTTTTTTCTTTATTTACTCAAAATGCATCTAGGACTTTTAGCTTAACGTGCCTTTCTCAAGTTCGAAAGATTATAGATTGTATATTCGATCATCCTTTGATTGACCATTTGCTTAACTGACCAAAGTTGCTTATCTTCCACGATCCCAGACCTAAAACGATTGTCACAGCGCCCAGGCGTCTATGACGTCTACGAAATATTCCTACTTCGATGAGAGTTTGTCCAGCTTAAATAGATCCGTGTTTATAATGGACTGTTCTTCAAATAGGTTCAGGGAGATTACGTCACACGTACTGATACATTACACCTTTTTATATCGCGCCAGCGTCACGTTGCCGTCACTCTCAGCCCGCTGTCTGAATGAACCTTGAGATCGCGCAATAAATAACGCATCGTACGTGAATCACGCGTAAATCTGGACAGGAACTAAATGCTTCTATTCAACACTATACCGTAATATTTTTGCCTACCAGAGGTTTGGGGCGTATCTACAAGGGCCTCGCTCAGTCTGGCTCCTGGGGTTGTTTTGACGAATTCAACCGGATAGAATTGCCTGTGCTGTCAGTAGCGGCCCAGCAGGTCGCAGTTGTATTGGCCGCCAAGAAGGAGAAGAAGAAAAGCTTCATCTTCACCGATGGCGATTTGACAGAGATGTGTCCCGAGTTCGGTATCTTTATTACTATGGTAATTTTCTTTTTTAATCAAATTGCTTGATAGTTTAAGAACACGAATTTGAAGAAATTATACTTGAAAAATTTTGCTTCAGGGAAATATTTCTAGTAAAATTTTGAAAATAGTAAAAGGTGCTTCCAAAGCCTTTCGCTGTTCGAGCGATGGTACTAACTTACCGCAAAGCTACCGATACCTTATGGACGTCAAATCAATCAAATATTTTCCCATTTGCATTGTGTTAAATGTAAGGATATATAGGATTATGGAATATTTAGGATTTTCATTTGTAATGGTTAATGTGATAATCATTTTCCCCTTGATTTGGTTATGATTTACCGTAGCTATCCTAATCAATATAATGTATAAAAATCTAATATTATTGTACATAGAATCCTGGGTACGCCGGCCGCAAAGAGCTTCCCGAGAACTTAAAGATACAGTTCCGAACGGTGGCCATGATGGTGCCTGACAGGCAGATCATTATTCGTGTGAAACTCGCTTCTTGTGGCTTCCTGGAGAACATTACGCTAGCTCGAAAATTCTACACCCTTTACAAACTCTGCGAAGAACAACTTACGAAACAGGTCATATTAATTTTGTTTTGGATCTTTTTATATGAAATAGATACGGAAATACAAAATCTTGAGAAATTTTAAAATATTTGTCCGAAATGTTTGTTTAGGTACACTACGATTTTGGTCTTCGCAATATTCTCTCCGTCCTCCGAACACTTGGTGCTGTCAAAAGAGTAAACGTCAAAGATAATGAAAGCACAATCGTCATGCGTGTGTTGAGAGATATGAATCTTTCTAAGCTCATAGATGAAGATGAGCCTCTCTTCATATCATTGGTGGCGGATCTCTTCCCAAACCAAGCTCTCGAGAAAACTACGTACGATCATCTTGAAGAGGCTATCAAGAAGCAAGTAGAGTTAGGAGGACTAATTTACCACCCACCTTGGGTGCTGAAGTTAATACAGGTAAACTACGTGACAGACTAATTATTTTTATGAGAATCTATATTATGAAATATTAAAACACCATTGACTCGTTAAATGTATAAACATTCCAGTTAAAAGGTCTATCTTTACAAAAAATCATTTCATTTAGATTATTTTACAGCTTTATGAAACTCAAAGAGTACGTCACGGTATAATGACTTTGGGGCCTCCTGGTGCAGGAAAGACTACTTGTATTCATACTTTGATGAATGCTCTTACAGACACCGAGGCACCTCACAGGTGAGCTGGCTATAGAAAAATTATGAGATGTACTTATAGTCACAATGTGTTATGACAATAAATTCCTAACTTTCTCTTTAATTTCGTTATTACGTTGTTAAAAAAACGAGCGAGCCTTACAGTAGTCGCGTATGATGTGTAACATTTGAAACCTAACCCTGTATTAGTAAAAAAAGAAATAAAACCTAGTACAAAAGCAATAAGCAATTTGAACATTGTTCTAAAATCAAATCAAATAGCGCGCGTTTTCACGACTTCCTGTTACACACTTCCGTCCCATTTCCCGAAATCACTCCCACAAATTGCAGGAAAGCGAGAGGAAAGATGTTACAAATCAAAAAAGCTTTGTAAAACTTACAGGGAAATGCGCATGAACCCGAAGTCCATAACAGCAGCACAAATGTTTGGTCGTCTCGACGTCGCAACCAACGACTGGACGGATGGAATATTTTCAGCTCTATGGAGAAAAACACTCAAAATCAAAACTGACGAACATATATGGTTAGTCTTAGATGGACCTGTCGACAGTATCTGGATAGAGAATCTTAACTCCGTTTTGGACGACAATAAGACGTTGACTTTAGCAAACGGTGATCGTTTGACGATGTCTCCGACCTCTAAGATAATATTTGAACCTGAGAATATTGACAATGCATCCCCAGCAACCGTGTCTAGAAACGGAATGGTTTACATGTCCTCGTCTGGCTTAGAATGGGATCCAGGTATATTGATAGCAAATTATTAAAACGATAAGCATAATTATTAAACAAAAATTTAATGTAACATTTGTATAGCGTAACATAATCTTGTCACATTTAACTTTTTCGAGTTTTTCGCAAAGTCAATGCAACTTCTCGACTAGACGAGATAACACTTTCAAATTATTTTCTTATTCAAGAAAATCGGCACCTTGTTTTCAGTTCTTCGGGGCTGGCTTAAAACTCGATCTCCCAGAGAGGTTGAAGTATTCACTGAACTTTTTGAACAAACGTTTCCAGTAGTATACACTTGGTGTACGCAAAATTTGACCTTTTGCATGAGAGTGCTGCAAAGTAACATTATATTACAAATGCTAAGTCTACTTGAAGGTCTCGTCCCCCAACAAACAGTCGAACAGAGTGAAGAACCTTCAGCCAGTAAGTCCGTAAATGGGGATATAGACGATGAAGAAGACAAAGAAAAAGTTGAAGAGATTATACAATTTACTCCTGAACATCTGCATAAAATATATGTTTTTGTTCTTGTGTGGGGTTTCGGCTCCCTTTTAGAAACAAGCGACAGAAATCGTTTTGACGGATTTATCAAAAATAAATTCGCAGATATTTTAGACATACCGAAACACCCCAACAACAAGCCTTCAATCTTATTCGACTTCTACGTAAAACACCCTGGGAAATGGGAACTGTGGGATGATTTAGTTACTCCCTATCAGTACCCTGACACTGCCGCACCTGACTACGCGAGTATTTTAGTGCCCATCACGGATAATGTAAGAATAAATTATCTAATCCATTGTATTGCGAAACAAGGTAAAGCTGTATTACTTTTAGGCGAACAAGGTTCAGCGAAAACGGTAATGATGAAAGCTTACATGAAAAATGTAAATCCTGAACAGTTCATGGGCAGATCCTTTAATTTTTCTTCAGCCACTAGTCCGTACCAATTTCAAAAAACTATAGAAAGCTATGTTGAAAAACGTAGTGGCATGACATTTGGACCTCCAGGTGGGAAAAAGATGTTGGTGTTCATAGACGACATCAATTTGCCCGAGATTAATGAATGGGGTGACCAAATAACTAACGAAATCGTGAGGCAAACTATGAGTATGGGTGGGTTTTATAGTTTAGAGAAGCCTGGTGATTTTACAACCATAGTGGATATACAATTCCTTGGCGCAATGGGGCAACCAGGTAAAATCATACAAAATATTAAATGATAAAAAATAGTTGTTTTTTAAGGTACCTCAATTATTTCAAACGTCAAAAATGGATCCGTTATGTGATTACTCGGTTGTCTGTCTGTCACAGTCGATTTACTCGGAATCTACTGGACCGACCAAGTTGACATTTGGTACATACATGTATGTTTGTGACCCAGACACGCGGAATAAATTAAATAAATAAATTCCCATATTTACACCTTATTTCCGATAAAACTTTTGAAAAAAATTTGGATTGTAGCTCTTCTTGTATATTACCTAGAAGTTAACATTAAGTATTTAAAATTAAATATTAAAGGGAGGCTTCTATACAACAGAGTTGTTTTTATTCTCGTTTTTTGTTGGAAATGATCATATAATTTCGTGCGCAAGTCCTATTAGAACTTGGCAGATTTAAAAAAAAAATATTACGTTTTGCAGGTGGAGGCAGAAATGATATTCCACCTCGGTTAAAACGGCTATTTGCTATATTTAACTGCCCTTTGCCTAACAATGAGGCAATTGATAAGATTTTTAAAGTAATAGGCGAAGGTCACTACAATGCCAGGCGTGGCTTTGCTATGGAAGTACGATCATTAATTAAAAAAGTAATACCACTAACGAGAGAGCTTTGGATGAGAACAAGGTTGAATTTACTGCCGACTCCAGCCAAATTCCACTATGTGTTTTCACTACGAGACTTATCTAGAGTCTGGCAGGGAATGGTGGGAACTCTCCCTACAGTTATTGAATCAGAGAAATGCCTAATGTTGTTATGGAAACATGAATGTTCAAGAGTATTCTTAGACCGTTTCACTCACCAAGCTGATAAAGATTGGTTTAACAAAGCCCTGTATGACATCGCGGAGGAAATATTAGGAGTGGAATATAAGAAAATGATGGAAAAGGAACCCGTTTTTGTTGATTTTATGAGGTATAATACGCTTAAAACGTTAAAACATATTTTTTTAAATACTGTACTGATTGGTTTTAGTGGGTACTAATTTTACAGAGATGCTCCGGAGCCAACTGGTGAAGAGGGTGAGGACACAGACATGGAATTGCCTAAAGTATACGAACCCGTGTATGATTACAGTGAATTAAGAGAGCGACTAGATATGTTTTTGGCACAATTCAATGAAATGGTGCGTGGATCCGGCATGGATCTGGTGTTCTTCCCTGATGCTATGCTACACTTGGTTAAAATATCAAGAGTCATACGACATCCACGTGGAAACGTCATGCTTGTAGGAGTGGGTGGTTCTGGAAAACAATCACTGACAAAACTGTCAACATTCATAGCGGGATATAGGTCTTTTCAGATAGCCTTAACTAGATCTTATAATGTAGGTAATTTCCTCGAAGATTTAAAACTCCTTTATAGGTCTTGCGGAGTTCAAGGAAAGGGCACAACTTTCATTTTTACCGATCTGGATATAAAAGAAGAAGGTTTCTTAGAGTACCTCAACAATATCTTATCATCAGGAGTTATATCGAATTTATTCACAAAAGATGAACAGCAAGAAATTATATCAGAATTAACTCCGATAATGAAACGAGAAAATCAGAAACGTACACTTACAAACGAGCTTGTGATGGAGTACTTTCTGAATAGAACATGTCAAAATCTTCATGTTGTATTATGCTTTTCTCCGGTAAGTTGCCTCTCTACCTTTACATAATTATGTTTTACAGTTATTGCAAAATAAACTTCTTCCTTTGAATTTTTAATAAAATATATTTTTCAGGTAAGCGAAGCTTTTAGAAATCGTGCGATGAGATTCCCTGCACTTATATCAGGATGCACTATAGATTGGTTCCAACCATGGCCCAAAGCAGCATTGGTACAAGTTGCCGACCACTTTTTATCAGAATTCGAGATCGAATGTACTAAAGAGGTCAAAAAAGAACTGGTTACTGTCTTGGGTACAATACAGGACGTCGTTTCTGGAGTATCGACAGAATACTTTCAAAGATTTCGTCGATCGTCACATGTAACTCCTAAATCATACCTTAATTTCATCGGTGGTTACAAAACAATTTACCAAATGAAACAAAAAGAACTCGGAGATGGAGCATTGCGAATGGATACTGGGCTTGAAAAACTTCGTGAAGCTTCTATTTCTGTAGAGGTGCTGAAAAAGGATTTAGCAGTAATGGAACAAGATTTAGCGCTTGCATCTGAAAAAGCTGATCGTGTATTAACAGAGGTAACGGAAAGAGCCATGCAAGCGGAGATTGTGAAGAATCAAGTGCAGATAGTAAAAGAAAAAGCTGAAGCTTTAGTAGCGTATATTGCCGAAGAGAAAGAAAAAGCTGAAATAAAATTAGAAGCTGCAAAGCCAGCGCTAGAAGAAGCCGAAGCTGCTTTAAATACTATCAAACCAGCACATATAGCGACTGTAAGAAAATTGGGGAGACCGCCACATCTGATTATGAGGATAATGGACTGCGTATTGATCCTATTCCAGAGAAGATTACATCCACTAATTCCTGATACAGCTGCGCCCTGTCCGAAACCATCCTGGGCAGAATCATTAAAAGTTCGTGTCATAAAATAATATGTATAACTCAATTTTGTTTCCAGCTCACTTTCAATGATACAGTTACTATCAATTTCAGATGATGGCTAGCACAACTTTCCTTTTACAACTTCAAAACTACCCTAAAGACATAATTAACAATGAAATGGTGGAGCATTTGTTTCCATACTTTGAAATGGAAGACTATAACATGGACACAGCTAAGCGCGTTTGTGGTGATGTAGCCGGGCTTCTGTCATGGACCAAAGCTATGGCTTTCTTCCACAGCGTTAATAAAGAGGTGCTTCCCTTAAAGGCTAATCTACTACTGCAGGAAGCCAGGCTAAAGGTATTATCACATTAATTTAAGTATAAGTAAATCTTTTTTTCAAGCGACTAATACAATTCCTTTGCAGGTAGCTATGGAAGATTTAGCATCAGCAGAAAGACAATTAGAAGAACGTGAAATGTCCTTACGCAAAGTGAAAGCACAATACGAGTCTGCTGTGTCCGAGAAGCAGCAATTGACAGACGCTGCCAACGTTTGCCTAAGGAAGATGACAGCCGCCACAGCACTCATAAACGGTTTAGGCGGAGAGAAGATAAGATGGACACAACAAAGTAAAGATTTTAAAGAACAGTTAGGCAGACTAGTAGGCGATGTCGTTTTAGCAACCGGATTCTTATCATACTGCGGACCATACAACCAAGAGTTCCGAAACAGTCTTCTTGACACTTGGATGGGAATACTAAAAAAGAAGGAAATTCCCGTGACGGACAATCTGAATATTACAAATATGTTAATTGAAAGTGCAACAATATCAGAATGGACATTGCAGGGCTTACCCAATGACGATTTGTCAGTTCAAAATGCTCTGATTGTTACAAAATCCAGTTCTTATCCGTTATTAGTTGACCCACAAAGTCAAGGCAAAAATTGGATTAAAAACAAAGAAAGTACAAATGAATTACAAATCACATCTCTAAATCACAAATATTTTAGAACTCATTTAGAGGATAGTCTTTCATTAGGTAGGCCGTTGTTAATTGAAGACGTTGGTGTAGAATTAGATCCTGTAATAGACAATGTGTTAGAGAAAAACTTTATCAAATCAGGCTCAATAGAAAAAGTAATGGTGGGTGACAAAGAATGTGATGTCATGCCTGGTTTTATGCTTTACATTACAACAAAATTACCTAATCCTGCTTACTCTCCTGAAATAAGTGCAAAAACTTCCATTATAGACTTCACTGTGACAATGCAAGGTTTGGAAGATCAATTACTCGGCCGGGTCATTCTAATGGAAAAATCTGATTTAGAAGAAGAACGCGTCGCACTGTTTGAATCGGTAATGAAAAATCAGAGAAGTATGAAAGAATTAGAAAGTAACTTACTGTGTCGACTCACATCATCTGAAGGCTCCTTAGTAGATGACGAAGCATTAATTCAAGTTCTGCAGGTAACAAAAACTACGGCAGAAGAGGTAAATGAGAAGCTCAAAGTGGCTGAAGTTACAGAAAAGAAAATTATCAAAGCCAGAGAGGAATTCCGAGCTGTGGCAGGACGGGGTTCTATACTGTACTTCTTGATAGTCGAAATGAGCAATGTAAATATAATGTATCAAAACTCCTTGAAACAGTTTCTCAATATATTCGATAGTTCTATTACAAAATCTACTAAGAGCAATGTAACTGAAGAGAGAATCAATATAATTCTCAAGTACTTGACACGAGAAGTGTGGGCGTTCACCTTGAGAAGTTTATACGAGCGACATAAAGCTTTGTTTACACTTATGTTAGCAATGAAGATTGACTGCCACAGAGGTTTGATATCCCATGATGAATTCACTGCATTCGTAAAGGGTGGCGCATCCTTAGACTTGAATGCTGTTACCCCGAAGCCGTTTAGGTGGATCTTGGATATCACATGGTTGAATCTAGTGGAGATTAGTAAACTAAAAATTTTTAGTGACGTTCTTCAAAGAGTTAGTTGAAAATTTTATTCTACGTTTTTGTTGAAGAAATCTATTACATTCATGGTTTTTTTTCAAAATATTTAATATAAAATATTTTACTATGTAAATTACCTATTAGTATAAAATAAATTTCTGCTTGCTCATCTGTGTTCGATAATATTTTTACGTACGTCGTTACATGTCTTATGATCCAGATATCGAGTAACGAAAAGGAGTGGCGAGTGTGGTATGAGAAGGCGAAGCCAGAGGAAGAGACGATTCCAAATGGATACCACGACAGCTTGGACGTGTTCCGTAAACTATTGCTTATTCGGTCATGGAGTCCAGACCGCACACTTTCCCAGGCCAGAAAGTATATTGTTGGTAGGTTGATTGCAACAAAAAGTATTTTATCCTTACCTTAAACTTTGCTATTAGCATTATTGACGTTTATGCTTTTGAAAAATATACAGATTCACTGGGGCCCGAATACGGTGAGGGATGCATTTTAAATTTGGAAACGACATGGGAAGAATCAGAGCCACGTACTCCGCTCATTTGCATTTTATCTATCGGCTCGGACCCTTCGGCTCAAATTGCAACTCTAGCAAAAGCAAAGGAAATAGGTCAGTACACTACAGCATTAAATCGGTTATATAAAAAAAAAACAACGGGTTGCACTCCGGGAGTGCCGGCAGAATTTAATATTAACGTTGTGCATTTTTGATATTTTGGAATGGTTAGGGAATAATTTTGCACGAATTGCTTTAATTATCAGTATTTAAGAACTATCATTTCTGTGGTAGAATATTATGTTTATTTATTACGCTATCGTACACAAACACAACAATTTATATTACATTAAAAAGTTTATCTCTCAGAAAAATCAACTTACATGAATCACATTTAAGCGCACCTAGCGACATCTATTGTAAAAAATATCATTTTCTTCGCAATAAAGCTGTTACCTGAAAGTCCTAGATAGAGACTTATTATTATAATACGATAAAATAAAAATAGTACTATGTTTCATCCAATATATTGAAAGTCAACAACCTTTCCAATTTTATTGTTTTCGTCTTACGAATTTTCGATTAGGTCATGTGTCCAGACGCGATCAGGCCGCGTGTCCTGACGCAAGTTTAACATTTTTTACCCGTACAATAACACAATGTACAACGCCGCTAAAGAAGTTTTCTCTTCAAAAATTGGTTAACTTTTACAATTTTATTTTCAGTCTTGAAGGCCGTATCCATGGGTCAAGGCCAAGAAGTAGTAGCCCGTAAAATGATATCAGATTCCATGAACGAAGGTGGTTGGGTGCTACTGCAAAATATTCATCTCTCTCTCCCATTTTGTGTGGAAGCAATGGATGCTCTTATTGAAACCGAACATATACAGGAATCCTTCCGTCTGTGGCTGACGACTGAGGTTCACTCAGATTTTCCAATTGGTCTTTTGCAAATGGCTATTAAATTCACAAATGAACCCCCACAAGGCATCAGAGCCAGTATGAAAAGAACGTACCAGAATATAACACAAGATACTTTAGATTACTCTTCGTTAACGCAATGGCCACCGCTGTTGTACGCTGTTGCATTCTTACATACCATAGTTCAAGAGCGAAGAAAGTTTGGACCTTTGGGATGGAACATACCCTATGAGTTCAACCAAGCGGATTATGCGGCTAGCGTACAATTTATTCAGAATCATCTTGATGAAATTGATCCCAAAAAGGGAATATCGTGGCCCACTGTTTGCTACATGCTTGGAGAAGTCCAGTATGGTGGTCGAGTAACAGACGATTTTGATAAACGTCTGCTGACAACATTCACCAACGTGTGGTTTTGCGATGTTTTACTCAGGCCAGGATTCGAGTTTTACAAAGGATACAAAGTTCCTCAGACTAGAAATTTGCAGGGATATGTAGATTATATCAACCAGCTGCCTTTGACAGACACCCCTGAAGTGTTTGGCCTACATGGTAATGCTGATATAACATACCAGATTAACAGTGCAAAAGATATATTAGATACAATATTAAATGTTCAACCTAAAGAAGGTGGAAGTCAAGGAGGGGAAACCAGAGAAAGTATTGTATACCGTCTGGCAGAAGACATGTTAGACAAATTACCTAAACAGTATATTAGTTTTGAAGTTAAGGAAGCCCTTCAGAAGATGGGTGCCTTTTTGCCGATGAATATCTTTTTACGGTAATTTTTAATATAAATAGCAATAATAAGGAAACGAATTTCAACGCTTCTTTAATAAACTCTTATCCACAGGCAAGAAATAGACAGGATACAAAAAGTAATTAAAACCGTCAGCTCTACTTTATGCGACTTAAAACTGGCAATTGATGGCACTATTGTTATGAGTCAAGGTTTGCGAGAATCTCTTGATGCAATGTACGATGCTCGTATTCCACAAAAATGGTTGAAGGTGAGATGCCTATCAAAGCAACGAAATTGATAAAAAAATATGTACCTGATCCTTATAAAACAAAAACTTTTCTCAAATGACCATTGTCTATCAAGATCTTCGTTAATAAATTATAATTTCTTAATATCTGAAATTACATGGACATATAACAAGTATAGGTACTGATTACTGTTGGTCAGAATCTGTATTTTTTTTTCTAGGTCTCATGGGAGTCAGCAACACTTGGTTTCTGGTATACTGAGCTTTTAGAACGTGAGCAACAATACAGAGTGTGGTTGAAGAACGGAAGACCTACCACTTTCTGGATGACTGGCTTCTTTAACCCACAAGGCTTTCTTACCGCTATGAGACAGGTTTTACAAAAAATCAGTATTAAATTTGTGATATGGTATAGTCTACAATTGTCATCATTGTTTTTTTTTACTTAATAGTCATAATTTTTATATTATTTATATTTGTAATGAAAAGTGACTTCATGAGTTACCTCATATTGAAGTCATTTTTCAATTTGATGACTCTGTATATAATACAGGGACAAAATGTTCTTTGTCCAGGGCTGTAGCCCTTGCTGAGTTTCTTGCCGGTTCTTCTTAGTACAAGGTTTCCCGCCGTGGATTTGCGAAACGATGGCGTAGCTTTTCGACATTCACAAATGCTTGTAACAGCCTAGATTGAATAAACGATATTGATTTTGATTTTTTCTCGGTCCCTCATTAAATTCATCCGGCTGGCTATAACCTTTTGTTAAAAATTTGATCATGTCTGGATTTAAGGCAGGACAGGTAACACAGGGGCCTCCACAAGAGGGGGGGCGATAAGTGACCCGACCCAGATTTAGGGGACTCCACTCCTTCGTTGCCCCAGGGCCTCCACACCTCTAAATTAGTATGTTAGGCCAAGATGCAGAATGTTCAGTGTGTCAAAATAACAAGGAAATAAAGCCCAATCGTTAAAATGCCCAGTTGTCCTAACATCCAAGCGTCAAAACAACAAATTGTTAAACAGTCAAATTGTCATAATGTCCAGTTATCAAAACATTCAATTCATAGAATTAGTCCAGTCAATGAAGGCTTAACTTTGCCATTTTGAGTTGATCACCTGCAACCAACGCGAAAATTTAAAATACTAAAATTGCAGGGAGCTGCATTGACGGCAAAGGGTGAAAAAAAAATGCGAAATGGTGCAAAAACGAGTTTTTCGTCAATATCTCGCGACTGGCTGGGAAAATAGAAAATATCTCCCATAGTTTTTGCACAAAATGCAAGTAAAGGTGCAAAATAAAAAAATCAAATATATTGTTAATGGTTTTTTTTTCCATTTTTAAACGATCCTACGGGTCAAATTCAACAATCACCACTTACTGAAATATTTAAGGATAAGTTTTCGGCAGTCCACTGAAATGAAAACTGTCTACCGAAATGGTAAAAAAATGACCACCGAAATGATACAGCAAAGAACATCGCCTTTGTAGTAGAAGGGTTCCCTATTTTGAATATAAATAAATTTCCTTATTCTTTGTTAATATTTTTGTTCATTATTTTTAATAAGAATTATTGAAGAATTAATCGATTGTTACTCCTATTAATTATTATGACTAATTATAATTATTAATATGTACATTTTCAAAATACCGAACAAAGCGCGTTTAGAATGTAATAGGTTTTTGTTGGCTACGGCAAATTTTGCAACAGTCGGCTAGGTGTTGAGCAAGGTAACAGTGTACAAAACTTATAAAGAGGCGCCATGCATACAGTAGCTAACGATTTCAGAATGAAATGAAAATGTCCACATATTAAATGTTCAAATCCATTTATTTCCTGGTATCAAAGTATGCTAGTACAAATTACTCGACCAAAATATATTAAATTAAAATAAGTTAAATTTTATACGTTAAATTTCTTACATCAAATGGGTTTACAAAATGTGTTAATATTACCCGGTTTATCCATATAAACTGTCCATGCGGTATCCATACATCAACGGGTGCTCCGGACACACGTGGTCACATCCCCTGGACGATGATATTGAAAAGGCAATGGACAGCTTTTCACCTCCCGGGTGCACGCAACAGCCCTGGCTTGAGTCCACGTGTCTCAACGATCGCTTCCTGATGTTGCTTCGAGGGTCTAGACCCTCGTGGATCGAAGCAACATCAGGTTGTTGAGGTTGATGAAAACATGTGGCCATCATGGGTCCTAAATTATGCCCATTTTATGGATGGGAGGTTTGGTGGCATTATTTACTGCTCTGCCACAGCGAAGTACCAATTACAACACTTAATTTTTGAAGATAATCTCCTCACATCTTTTCCGATTGAGGCATAAGTGTGAAATAAAAGACGCTTTTTCGTGCGGTGACAAACCTACTCTCATACCGAATACATCGAGACATAGGTCATCGATGTACAGAATCGAATCAATCAACTTAATGGAAAAAATACCACTATAAACGAAATGTTAATTGTAGAATTAACATATTTCCACAAGGAGCGAAACGAATATATTTACTTTATTTTTAGGGATGAATTCCCTGAAATAAACTATTAAACTATTTACTAATCGATCAGCTATCGCTAACAATTAATACGATTAACCGATTCCGACCTACCAACCATGCAATCCCTATTACATCACAGATACAAAAACCATTGTTCCTTTATATAGCACTGGTGAAGGCCACGGCTACTATGTATTATACAGCCTAAACAAATGATAAATTTATTATTTTATCTATTTATATTGAATAATTTGTTGGCTGTATTAATTTAAGATCAATTTAATGTTTAACAAAGATTATAAGTTCAAAACATAAATTTATTTATAATTAAATAATCATGGACATAGTAAGTTTCGATCCTATACGACCGTGGACTATTTATGTGAAGGAAAGTTTAAAGTTTGGATTTCTGTACGCAATTTAAAGTGACATTGGGGTTGACATTTGAGGTTATCAACCCTCCTATTTGTTATTGTTTTACTAAAGATTTGATTTTAAACTCAAATAAGCTCATTGCAACAAAAAAGTGTTACAAGAAAGTGAGAAGTTTATTAGTTAGTAAATCGTCCCCTTAGTGCCAAAACCGATTATCTGCACTTTTCCGCTACTGCTGCAAATTATTTCCAAAATTCTTGATTTAAAACCTAATAAACCCATTCAAAACACTTAAGTTTGTAAATGTATTACCGCTGAAACCAAGTTTCGGATTTAAACTCATTTTTCATGTAGACACTTCGAGTAAATATCCTGTGAGTATCCTGTAATTGACTTTGACTGTTTGAATTTTACCAGATATTTTACTAGATGAAGTAAAAATTAACAGATCTAAGTCGCTTTTTTCAAAAACAAATATACAGTATATTTGCGTAATATTTGAGGCAATTGAATAAAATACCGAATTTCAATTTGTTTTTACTTAATAACTTTTATTCAACGCTTTATAAATTACTTCAGCTAAAATCGATTATCGGTGATAACTCTTTTCTTCCACTATAATTTATTATCGTTAGACATCGTTATATTTGCAATATGCAATACATATCCATTAACGCGGCCCAGCGCCGCCGCCGTGTGCTTGATAATAGATTAGACAGAGAAAAAATATTAGAAATCAACTTCGATCATCTCTTAAATATTGATCGCCCATTTAAATTATACGAAGAGCTATCAACTTTATTTAGAGACATATACAACCAATGTTTTAAAGTAAAAAATATGACTGGAAACAGGGACTTTAGAAATGAAAAGTATTGGATAAACAACAGCTTAAAAAATATTGTTCTTGAAAAAGATAGATTATTCAAAATTTGGCGTGGCGATCCAAAGAATATGGTAAAAAGATCTAGGTACAGAAACAAATGTTAAAACAGCAATTTTTATATGTAACGTACAACATGATAAAAAAAACAATTTTAAATTGTAATAATAATATTAAAAAAGTTTGGGATAAAATTAATGAGTTATTGGGTAAAAATAAGCAGATAATCTAATCTTAAGTAACATAACTAAACAAGGCGGCACGCAGCCAGTCTGTAATGAATTTGCTGATACATTCTCAAATGAAATTGATCAAATAAAGCACTCCTGTCATGAAAAATGGCTGGAAAGGAAGACTTATGTTAAATTATCTAATGTGTGTATGAGATGGCAACCGGTTGATGGCAAGGACATAAAACTAATAATTGATAAAATGAATAAAAATAAGTCACCGGGCAGTGATCTTATAAGCATGTCTGATTTAAAAATAATTGTTGATAAGATTAGTCCTGTTTTATCTAAGCTGATAAATCTGTCTGTAGAATATCAAAATTTCTACAAAAACTAAAGGAAGCAATCATTCGTCCAGTCTATAAGAGAGGAGATCGTAAAGTCCTTTCAAATTATAGACCGATAGCTATACTATCAAGTATTGATAAAATTATGGAAAAATGTGTTGTCAACATCAGTCAGCAACTTTTTTACAGAAAAATAATATCTTAACGGAAAGTCAACATGGCTTCCAGAAAAATAAAAGCACCAACACCTTATTATCAAACTTTACAGACGATATTATTAATATTGCAGATGTTTTTATGACTTTAGAAAGGCTTTTGATACCCTACAGACTGAGACCCACAAGGTTATATAGTAAACTAGGGAAATCAAGCCAAGTACCGAAATTAAACTCTCGTTAACCAAAGAAAGCTAAGATTTAGGTTATACAGCCATATCTTCAGTAGCTTCATTATTTTTGTTATGTTTACATTATAACCATATATTAGATTTTTAGGTTATCACATCTTATAATATGTTTATGGCGGTGATTGGCGAAAAATGTATGGCAATAGACTTTATGATGTCGCCTACCATCTATAATAATTGTCTTAGCACATTTGCATGTAGTGCAAATGGTAATATAGTTGTGGATATTAATACCTGTGGTACCTGTAATAAAAAAAATGATTTATTTTATCGACCTTTACAAAATAGATTTGTTATTATGTTATCTAAACAACTTCGATCAGTCTTTGGCTGAATGTTACCACACCCATAGCCATTAAAAATGATTCGTATGTTTTTCAAACTGGTAAAATTAAAAGTTCTTTTTAAAATGAATATATTATACATAGGTGTCCGTTAAAATCTAATGACTGTAAAATAAAGTATAAATTACGCCAAGAATTACCGTTTAAGTCAATATTTTTTGTGCATTTGGGTCAATTTGAGCAATCTAATTTAAAATTTTATTAAAAGAACACTTGTTAAATACGTTGTAGCTTTTTACGTAAATTAATTGTATTAATATCACCTAATTTAAAAATTTATAAGCTATGTGTATATAAAGCGAGTTACCTGCAGTCAAACTGCGTCAGCAGTTTTGCGGGGCACGATTTAAATGAAAGTGTAACTTTTTATGAATAAATATATTACATACATAAAAAGTTTAGTAGCGGAAAAGTGCAGATAATCGGTTTTGGCACTAAGGGGACGATTTACTAACTAATAAACTTCTCGCTTTCTAAACGCGCTTTGTTCGTTATTTTGAAAATGTACATATTAATAATTATAATTAGTCATAATAATTAATAGGAGTAACAATTAATTAATTCTTCATTAATAATTCTTATTAAAAAATAATGAACAATAATATTTACAAAGAATAAGGAAATTTATTTATATTAAAAATAGGGAACCCTTCTACTACAAAGGCGATGTTCTTGGCTGTATCATTTCGGTGTTAATTTTTTACCATTTCGGTAGACAATATTCATTTCAGTGGACTGCCGAAAACTTTTACTTAAATATTTCAGTAAGTGGTGATTGTTGAATTTGACCCGTAGGATCGTTTAAAAATGGAAAAAAAACCATTAACAATATATTTTCTTTTTTTTTATTTTGCACCTTTAATTGCATTTTGTGCAAAAACTATGGGAGATACGAGAAAATATGTTGATACCTTTTTTGTAGGAAATTCAATTTTCTACAACTTTGTACTAGGAACTTTTTCTATTTTCCCAGCCAGTCGCGAGATATTGACGAAAAACTCGTTTATGCACCATTTCGCATTTTTTGCACCATTTGCCGTCAATGCAGCACCCTGCAATTTTAGTATATTAATCTACGAACCCTTGCGGAAATTTTCGCGTTGGTTGCAGGTGATCAACTCAAAATGGCAAAGATTAGCCTTCATTGACTGGACTAAATGCCCAGTTGTTATATATTATCCAGGTGTCAAAACAACAACCGATCGAAGATGTTTGTCTTATTTCAGGAAGTCACCCGTAGCCACAAAGGTTGGGCGTTGGACTCGGTAGTTCTACAAAACCACATTACAAAATTAAATCGTGAAGAAGTGCACGAGGGCCCAGCAGAGGGAGTTTACGTTTATGGCCTGTTCTTAGAAGGTATTCTTTTTCTCCAGCGATTATATAACTTTAAGTTAAATTCTGCGGATTCAAAAATGTATGAGTTGGTAACCAAACTTTAAAATACTTTCAACACCTGAGAAAACCCGCACAGGTTACCTCCCGTCTTTTTCTTTAAGCCTGAATTGATGTAATGGTGGGGTGCTTTTATTTGTATTATTTTTACACTGAGAGCAAGCCACAGTCACTATTTTTTCTGTAAATATCAACACAATTTGATAGTTAAAGATTCTTTAACATTGACAAGAATATATTTAATATTTTAACCCAAATTTTGGTCACGCAGGTGCTTCCCTAGACAGGAAGACTGGAAAACTGATAGAGTCCAAGCCAAAGGTGCTATACGAGCAAATGCCGGTGATTTACATCTTCGCCATCAACACGACCGCCGGCAAAGACCCGCGTCTGTACGAGTGTCCCATCTACAGGAAGCCGCAGAGGACGGACGCGAAGTACGTCGGTTCCATAGACTTTGAGACGGATAGCAACCCGCGCCATTGGACACTAAGGGGCGTCGCCCTTCTCTGTGATATCAAGTGAACAGTGATAGTTACCTGCCTTTATGTAAATTGTCGAAATAAGCAATGAGTCGATCAATAAATTTTTGTTTTACTTTTTGTCAATAAGTGCTTCCAATTCTGGATCTTTACTTAATAAGATGGCAATATTTTTATTGCAAACATATTTAATATGATAAAGACCCAAGTACCTATTAGCTTTAATGAAAAGGTCACACTGTATGTTAGATTGATATTAAATATTCACTGCTTAAGTATCCTAATCTCTTATCTATTAGACAAATCCGTCCGTCCGTCCGTGGTGCTGTTTCAGCGGCCAAACCGTATGAGATAGATAAAGAGAATGTTTAAGTTATAAGTTAAGAATAGTCTGATAAGACTACAAACCGGATTTGAGTAACGTAGCACTTCCGGTTTTCGAGAAATCACGTGATTTCTATTTCAAACGAAACCACACAAAATCTCCTAAGTTCTTAATTAATTAAATACATTTTTTTTTGGTGAACATTTGGTTCATTGGTTTGCTAGATATTTCTTTAATTTTATAGGAAAGCAATATAAAAATATCAAAATCCCAAGTAGTTAAGAAAGTATTCATATATTAAAATAAAATTTTACAAGGGGGTTAAACCTTACAGTATTCAAACGTGTGGGCGTCGGGCACTATACAAAATTTCAAAGACATTATCACGGGACGGGCACAGGTCAGGACAGCACAAGACGTCCACAAGCCCGCTTAGAGTAGCTTCTTGATCTCGTCGTATAAGACTAATACGAAGGCGCCTCCGGTCCCTCTTAGAACGTTGGAGAAGGCGCCTTTAAAGAAGGCGCCCAGACCTTCTGTTCGGAGGATTGTGACCCAGCAGTGGATGGTGTTCTTGTATAGGCGCTCGTTCACCGGCTTGCCCGACTGCATCATCATACGTCGTCGCACTGTATCCAGCGGGTAGGAAGTGATACCAGCTACTGTCGTCACAGTCTGCACAGAAAAATAATGCATTTCTGTCTTCAAGTCCTGCTTTTTATCGCTGATGAATCGTTCACCTAGGTGCACCACGGACATTTTGTCTGAATTCCTTACCTACCATCTATGATAGATAGCTAAAATGGGTATGATTAAGGTTTTGTCCATGGTTAACCCCAGTAAAATTTTAAAAGGTTTTATAATTCAAACTAGACTTCACAATACAAGTAAAAGTAAAGTCAAAGGACATTGTTCAGCGTCCATACATAGTTAGCCTAAGAACCAACAATCATGAAATATTATTTTCTAGGTTCAAAATCGTAAGTAAATGACTGTAAAAACAAAAATTATTGACGGACACTTCTGAGAACTTAAATTATTAGGAAAACTAAAATTTTTTTGAGGTTATGTTTAATATTCAATGAAACATAGTCAAACTATGAATTTATTATGAACTCAGTATGAAGTGAATTAATATTAAAACTAATTTATTTTATTCGGTGCGATTTTAAAGAATAACTATTAGGAAAAACTTGGTTAGGTAGGAATCATGAATAAAATAAAAACTGTAGTTTTGCTTCTTATTTATTGAATATTTTTCACATAATTGTATCATATTGTTTATTGTATTTATTTGTGTATCACATGTATATTGTGTAAATATGCAGCGTGAATGTGTATCAGGTGTTCTTGAATAATTTGGCAGTATGATCCTCTCAGGATGTTGTGGCACAGATTCACTAGCACTTGGTAATAAGGGCTCTGCTCTTTGGTAACATCGATGGCATATTAGATAGCCGAAATAGTTAAAGGGAACGAAATAGGAAAAACAATCGCAAGTTAACACACACAACACGTAATCCGAAACGAGAATGAACTTTCCGGTATATTAAACTACTCTTTGGAATGCACGAATGCCACAGATTACTAAAAATGCAAACTGCATGCACCACAACCACAGAGTAACGAGTTTTATGCCGGCCCTTCACTTGACAACAGTTTGTCCTTGTCATGCTTAATAAGGAATGAAAAGGACAGACTGATGTCATGTTTTAAAATAGCAAATACGAATAACCAAGTGAAGTGCCGGCATTAGGAAGAAAGAGTGTTTTGTTTGCAGCGCTGCCATAGATTATACACATAAAATGGTATTTATTGTCTCAGATTATTTTTTAACTTTTTAATTTAGCTTACTTAACTGGAAGTGTCCGTCACAATCTAAATACTGATAATTATCGCAAAAAATATACTAAGAATTATCATAAATGCCAAATTGGTGTTGGTTCTTAGGCCAATTTTAACATTGTCCTTTCTAACGCTAACGAAATTTTTCAATTGATACGTGTCAATGTAAATGTTTGTTCTTGATGCTGCCCCAAAAAAAAATTACCGTAATGAAAGTGTAAAGTAAATATAAAATCTTTAGGTACCTACACTAATTCAACAATGTAATTAGTTACAGCAAACAAGCATGTCTTTATATATCAATCTATAAATTTTGTAAAATCTGACCTGCGCAATAAGCCAGGTGACGAAAAGCGACGTGTTCTTAGGGTCGGGCAGCATGCCGCGCGCCGTGTCGAAGAAGCCGAAGTATGTGGCGCGGTAGATGATGATACCCTGCACGGACACCAGGAACCCGCGGTACCACCCGATCGGCCCGTCCGTCTTCAGCGTCTTCATCAAGCAGTGCACGAGACCTTTGAACTCCTTGTTCTTACCTTTGCCCATGTCGGCGGCTAACCTATGAAACAGGTGATAATATAGTGAATACACTTAGTTTAACATCCGCTCACGATTTTGGATGCAGCAGGGATCAGCAGTTTAACGTGCCTTCCGAGGTACAGAGAAGCTTAAAATATCACATTTTTAGTCACCCATCCTATGACCGGTCATTGCGTAATTTGGTTAACTTCCTCGATCGCAGACCGAAATGCTAATAACCATTTATAATAAGTTGTTATCTAATAATGCATTGGGGATACCTTTTAGCACTGGCGCAACTAATGTAAACGTACCAATAACCGTAAGTTACTAATCTTGGCTGACTTTGCAGTTTTGCCACACAATCATTAATTAACTTATGAAAATTTTAATTACACCATGACCTATATAGAATTTATTGTACTTTATGATTTATTCTGTCGAGGAAAGTAAGAAAAAAAATATAAAAAATATGAATTGCCAAATGAGCCATTTGTACCAGTAACCGCCACATTTGTCCTAATTGCCGTTTAAATGCCCACCTCGTCGAGTTCGTCATTTTTAATGACGGATTTGAACTTTGTGTATATCTTTAAAGTTCACGATATTTATCATCTGATAAGTTTTTCATTAGTGTCTTTCCTCGATTGCCGTTGCCCAACGATGAGTCAAGTATGCTAGGAGATCACCAGCTGAGCGACTCCATTATCATGGAGCACAAGGAGGTGATGGCTATAGGCCTATAATTACTAGGAAGTGAGTGGTCACCTTTTTTAGGAATCGGGTGCACCTAAAGAGTAGGAGAGCCGGAATAGCCGCTTTAGTACCGGAGCCAACTCAGGGGCACGTCTTGATCACAATTGTTGACGCCATCAGTTGTCGTTGACAAAGAAGTCATCGTAACACTTTGGAACTGAACATTATTTTACAGATACTTCTTCGCGTGCGTGTACGATTAATCAGTCGAATAAGCTCAGTTTTGCTATTTTTTTTGTATGAAGAGAATTAATATAAAGAGAATAATAAGATGAAGAGAATTGGTTTCTATAAAAGAGATATGATGAAAATTCTAGAGAACCTGTTACAGAACCGATCCTGTACAATTTTTATCACAGCCGCGATGCTCGCTTATCATAAAGCACACTGGTTTAAATACAAATGATATAGAAAGCACTTTGGATCCGCTTCTTTACTGCTATAAATTTCTTTATATACTCAAACCGCTATCAATTCGTGAAATTTGCTATGAAGAAGAGATCTTAACAGATCAAGCATTATCATTCTATGTAGTCACCGGTACTGACTGTCGTCTCCTGAGTTCTGTACCCTCATTTTGCTTTTTTGCTCCTTGAGTTGGGGTGCCTTGAGAGTTTAAATTATGCAGTAAATTTTAAAATACATGCATGTCATAGTACGAATACTCGTATTTACTTAGATCTTTAATATGTTATCAATTATTATAGCTATTAACCATGGATTTTTACGGGATTTTTACCATGTACCACAGAACACAGAAAGAGGTTAGAAGGGTGATAAGCAGTGGTTGACACTGAGTCGATGAAATATTATCGATATTTTATATGCCAAGAGCGAGTTGGACTTGATTGTATGGATTTTTTTGTATCCTGTCAAAGTCAGTAAAGATAAAGAAAATGATTTAATGTAAAACGCATTACTACAGATAGTTATTTATTGACCTGGAAACAATATATATATATATTATTAAAAAGGTGACGCTTTGTTTATTTTTTAAAGTTATTTTTCAAAAGATATATAAACCTATATCGATATATTTTTCAATTACCACTTTAATTGAATCTGTTACGTGGTTAGATAATGGGAATACACCGACTTGATGAAATGAAATGTCAAATAATGAAGTGCCAATATTTTTTTTTTATATTTTTGGGACTAAAATTTCTTTTTGACATTTTCCAAATTATCTGCATGTTGTCGTATTACAGTTTCTGCACTTTTGCATATTTTTATAACATCACCACGGACGGATATATCAGGCCACCTTTATCTTTTAACGAAATAAATTTATGTTAATTATTACTTGAATCTGATATTAGGGCTCTAGGGCAAATATCGCATTTGATTTTTTTAATTAGGACATGAACCACATTGCCTGCTATGTAGGCAATGACTTGTGTACTGAAATCTGTAAAATCTTCATCTTCAGCCTCTTCGTTTTCTGATGGTTTCTCTTTACATGCTCTTTCTACTGACTGTGTGGACAAGTTAATTCTCTCTATAGTCCAGTCAAAATAGACAAAAATAAGTCATAACTTAGGGATAATTCGCATAGAGCTAAAAATTGGCAGAGACTTTAAATATATCATTATAAATAAAATGTCTAAAATCCCCTTCGATCCTACTTCTGCAAAAAAAAATTCAAGGTCGAACTTACAAAATTACGGTTTTTTCCATTTTTCTTGAAAACGATAAGTTTTATTGTGAAAATAGGTCTAACAAAAGTTGTAGATCATACAATTCTCTACAAAACTGGTCCAATAACTTTTTCTCTCACGACACACCATTCGTGAGATATCGCTGTTTTAATAATTAGAAAATCATATTTTACATATTGAGTACGACTTAGTTGCTGCTAAAGCTAAGTACCACAATAACTGTTATAATATCTTTCTGATGCCTACTATGGAATATAAATCTGCATGGAACAATAAAACAGTACAATGGTATGTCTGCCTCCAACATCTGCTTCAGCCTTTCAACACTTGTATCGTGTGTATTATCAAGTTCAAGTATGGCTAGGCTTTTTGACATATCGATCGAAGTAAAAATAGTGTCACATAACTCGTTCGATTTTATGCTAGAACATTGTTTAATCGATTATTAGTATTTTATTTTTTAAGTTATCAAAAATACTGGTGTTTAATAAATTATTACAAAAACTCATTAGTATTATTATTTTAGCTAGTACAAATATTTGTGCGATGAGCACGAGTATTTGTTCTGTGTCTGGGTGTGATTTATTTAAAATATGTTTAAATATATAACAAAAAAACAGTATATTTTTTATGTTTGTTTATCGTAATACTCTGTACAATAAGGCATTGTCCTAATACAACGCGATAACGCGAATGAGCGATGCGATCATCGTACGAGTCGACGATCAAACATATTGATTTAGAATAGGTGTCCTAATAGGCGATCGCGCGATGCATTCGCGCGACTAAAATGTTTAAAAAATTATCGCGCAATCAAACCTAATAATGATGAATAGGTGTCCTAACTAAAGTTCGCGCGATGATCGCGTCGCGTCGATAGGAAGCGGGTAGAGGGGCAGGGCTAACCCGACCAAACTGTGTGTCAATCGTGATCGCGTATTCGCGTAAATCGTGATCGCGTATTCGCGTAAATCGTGATCGCGTATTCGCGTTCTATTAGGACACCCAGTTCGCGATCACGCGATGGTCGCATCGTTTAAACGCGCGATGATCGCGTTATCGCGTTGTATTAGGACAATGCCTAAGATTTATTGACTATAATTAATAATTTCAATTAAAAAAAGGTTGATAATAAACTATATCTTTCGACTTTTTACGTTTAAATATTTTTGAGTGTTGGCAGCACCATGTTGTGGTGGTGTATTGCGCCATTTTGAAGTCACTTGTTCACTGATCTTGTGACAGTTGCAACGTAATTCTTCTTTTTGAACATTTTATCAAACGTTAAGTTGAGTAGTCTTTTGGGGACTATCAACCTCCTTTTCATACTTTTTTTATAACGCGTTTAAAGTGAAGTTTTATTGTAAAATAATTTTGTTCTTTCTTTCTGTCTGTCAATAAAAATCGTTTGGAAAATTTGCCTACGTATTTTTCTCTCGTGAAATATTTATTTTCACAAGTCATATAGTTTTGATTTGTTACTTTGTATTGGAGCAAACCGTTCGTTCTTCCGTAAGCTCTGAATATGTACTGTACTCACTCTGTAATCATTTATTTCTACCGATTATTTGTAATCTGTGGCATAATCTTAGTAATCATTATGTGTGGCACATCACTAAGTGGGCGGTACTCGTCCATGAAGTACAATATTATTTGTATGACATTTTAACGTAAACAATACGAAATTTCATGGGCGTCGATCTGTCAAAAAGATAATAATAGAATGGACAAACTATAATTAATATTTCTCGAATTTTTATACCACCGTATTTTTGCTATTTTTACCTCAAACTAAAAATGTACCCTCTGCTACCATAACTGTTATTTGGTCAATGTTTTGCCAATTTAATAGCAAGTGTAAATACCTTTTTGAATAGCTAAAGAGACGTAGAAGTTTTTAAAATTATTTGCAGAATAAGTTCCATACATTTTTTTTTTAGAAAAGCGCTTCAAAGTTAAGAACACTTGGTGAAAATTCTTTAGTTATAACCGTTGTCGAGCAGTTTTTTAAGCCGTTAGAAGTAGGTTCAGTTTTTATTCATTATTTTTATTGCTTGACATGTCTTCTAACTAGATACATTAAAAAATCGGACCTTTGGAGCTCTAATTTCAAAAAAATCGACAATAACCCAAAAAATATAGGATTTTTTAAAAAAATCTTTAATATCCAATATCTCCATAACGGTTAAGTTTCGGACACCATATTATAGGACCAAATCCATCAGAAATGACCTGAATAATAACGTCCTTCAATATTCAGTACGACTTTCCCTGTAACCCTGTATAACCATGAATGAGTTGCCACTAACAGTTTTTTACTTTAATATAAACAAGTACAAGTAAGGACACTGTCGACATTACCAGCGATTACCTTACATAGGTGGGTCATGGCCTAATCTGTCTATTCTTTTAAAATAGTTTTTGAATCTGTGGTGTCTATAAAATAATTTAAAGCACCTCGTTCGAGCAAAATCCAAGGGATACACGAAGCAGAGCGAGGTGGCTCCGGCAGCGCCTCCCGACGCCAAGTTTCCAGCAAAGTACCGCCAAAAGTTCTTATTCTTGTCCACGTCTTTAAGAAACATGGCCTTATAAACATCTTTGAAGGCAAAATTTAACGCTTGCGTTGGAAAGTATCTAATCACGTTAGCGAAGTTCCCTCTCCAGAGAGAAGTTATACCTTGCTCCTTGGGCACACGGATAAGAACGTCCATAATACCTACAAAAGGGAAAAACTCTTAGAAATGATGATAAAAACTTAAGCATAAACATTTTGCAACCAAAAAAAGTAGGTAAACATATTTTTATCATTAAAATAGGCTAAGACAATACCTATCAATTTTCTACAAATAAAGTCATAGAAATAAATTAAATAATCTCGTTGGAAATTATTCCTTCAGATTTTATTGAAACGTGGAATTGCTTTCTAATAAAATTTACCTTTTCATTAAACATTATAAACGGGTAAAATTATTTATTTACTGTTAATTATTAAGTTTCGTTTCTTTTCCTTGACAAACTGTGTCGTACCAATCTGAGTTTTTCGAAAAGCTCAGACTTACATCCAAGACTTTTGAATCAAAAACATCAGAAATAATAGAAAAACTTTACATCCGTCCAATATCTATTATCAAAATGATTGGTGTGAGTGAAAACATGCGAACTTTTTTACCTTTATACCGTTTATCTTCTGCGATCTGTTTATTCACATGTTGCACCTGTAAGATGAGCTTCACTCGTTCTATAGGAGCGACTGCGGTCTTCGACACCGCAGCAGAAATTCCGCCGGCCGCGAAGTCCTTTAGAAACGCTGTTGGATCACGTTCCTTTTTTTCCTCTTTGCCCTTCTTCTTGTCTTTATCAGACATGTCGTATTTATTTAAAAAGTGGACGCGATAGAATATTACCTAAATTCTGGAAAGAAGTTAAAAAATATTCACATTAACAAATTACCTAAGACTAGCATTGGCGACAGATCCACGGGTATAGACGATCACATTGTTTGACACAATTTGTAAAGGTCATATTTGATTAGGTAGGTACCTACGTAAAGTGATTAATAATATGTATGACAATCTCTGTGGTGCGAGTGGCATGTACACAACCTGCGTACCGACACAGGTTGTAAATGTGATGTCTAGTCTACTCAGTCTCTAGGGGTCGAATATCGGTGGGGCAAATGCTTAGGCAATGTTTGTATGATGAAAACGGGCCTATGTACCTAAGTTATGGCTGTTCATATATATTTCATTAAAAATATAACTACTTATTTAGGTATCATTATTATGTATTTCTATCCATTACCCTAGTTGGTATTCCATAACACAAGCTCCTACAATACTTTGGGGCTAGGCTAATTGGTGTAAGTGTTAGAAATATTTATTTTTCTTTTAGCTTTATTTACCTGTATTTTCTTTGAATGATCGATAGTTTCGCTTAACAATGTGACACAGAAACCAGAACACCAAAATGCGCAACGCAGCAAGCAAGTACCCTAAAACGATACTTGATTAGTACTCACTCGATCGCTAACTGGACTCAATGTCCATGTCGCTAAAAATAATCCTACAAAAATTTTAAACTACACGATATAAATTTCTTTTTAAAGTAAATAATTTGGGTTTATCACTCAATCTTGCATGACACTTAAAAGACTTGAGACATTTAAAAAGAAATGCGCTTAGAACATTTAAAATCAGAATAGGCTATTCTGAAAAGGAGATTGCATAGCTGAAAATAGTCCAATCATTCGGAAAAGCCTTTCGCGGCGATTTTAAATAAAATCGGGTGGAAATGTATTTGCTAGTTTTCTCATCGTTTGTACATATATTTTTTTCGGATCACAAGCCGAACTGGATTCGCCTCGGTTTAACCTTACTATCGCGTGTGCGAATAGGTCTAAATAAGTATGAAGAATATTTATTCTTACTTATTAAAACACACTCCGTCCTCAGATGTGTTTGGAACTTAATAGGTAGGTACCGTTTTTTGAAACAATTATGGCCTGCCGAGACGACGGACTTTTGCTTGTGACAGACAAAAATTCCTGACACATGAAAAAATTACCGCCAAGGACTTGTCACAGACACAAAGCCCACATTTGCGAACATTTTTCTGTCCGAAAATTTAGAAGCGTGGAATGAAATATTCTCCTCTGATTTCGTTGTGTTGTCATGAACTTGAAGTTCAAAAAAATTGAAGACTTTTTAAATGAGAATACTTCGTCCATCTCTAAATCGGATCGAACACGCATTCTGTGTTCTGTGGCTGTCTCTGTGTGTTTCTGCGCATAATGAAATGAAATGAAAAGTCATTTATTCAGTCTAGGCTGTTACAAGCACTTGTGAAGGTCAAGAAGCTACGCCATCGGTTCGCAAATCTTCGGCGGGAGACCTTGAACTGAGAAGAACCGGCAAGAAACTCAGCAAGGGCTGTTTTTTTCTCCCTGTATTGTTATATACAGAGTTGTAAAGTAGAAAAAAGACTTCAGAGATACGTCTGAAGTCACCTTCCATTACATCATTAATCATTAGTCAAATGAGTTCTATTTCTTTCGGGGACTCCCTCGTACTTTTGTACTGTTCGGTTTCTTCGTATTCTCGGTTGTTTGGGGGACTTTTTGTATGCGGTACTGTTAATTCCTCGTACTCTTAATTACTCGACGCAGGTGTTAGGTATGTATTTTGGCGGACAAAAAAGTCAGCGAAGAAAAGTCCCTCGTCTGCGCAAGCCTGCATTTCGTACGTGGATTTATGGGTCGAGTTTACTCACAAACATGGTTTGCTGTTACCTGGGGCCATATGAATATTACCTATAGTACTTAGGTATATTACCAAATTGTGGATTTATTGACTGAACACGAGTACTTAAGCCTACCTAAAGAACGTTTACACCAGTGTTTAGAATCCTAACAACTACTAATACATGAGTAGTAAATACTACTTACCTTGCAATTACAAAATTGATTTGGGATTAGAAGTACAACCTAACCAATTTTGTAATATGGATATGTACCCTCAGCACGAACTAATATCGAATTCAAATAGTTTGCGAATGCGAAATATAATTGTCAAATGTGTACTGATTTTTATTTCTCATTACGTCCATTGTGGCGCTTCTGTTCAAGTTTCCATATAAAATTCGACATTGACATTTCGTACTCGCAAACGACACAGCTAAATCTCGAACGTTAGATATATTAGTAGTTGTTAGGATTCTAAACACTGGTGTAAACGTTCTTTAGGTAGGCTTAAGTACTCGTGTGCAGTACTTTAAGTCCACATTTTGGTAATATACCTAAGTACTATAGAAACTATGTATATTGCCAAAGGTAACAGCAAACAATGTCTGTATGCAAACCCGACTGACATTGTCCTGTCTGTCGCATGAATATAAAACACGCACGAATATCGTATCCCGAAAGCTCTTCGCACAATAACTGCGTTCTTATTTTCGAAGCCCTTAGTCACCGCGCCAACTTACATCGCGTTCAAAGTGGCTCATCCTTTTTTATATCTTGTAGCATAATTTTATTATAGTTTATTTTTTCTCTACATCTAAATATCTTTTATAGGCGCTGTGAAAACTAATGTGGCATCTCAAGATCATTTTTCCACGGTAAACAAATTTTCCATTGCCCATTTTTATAGGCAGATTTGTCAATACAGTCGATTGCGCGAAGTTCATCCTTATTCACTCGTGGTTTAGTATTCACTTCTATTGCTTCAAATGCAAATGAACGCCGTACTATCCAAGCTTCAAATGCAAATAAACACAAGTTGTTGCTTCAAAGCTGGCAGTCCTTTCGGCAGTGTAAGACTTCTACGGCCAGTTGTACGCATCACATGCATCTCGACCCGATTCCTGAAATGAGGATTCTAGAGCCACATTAACACCGCCACCGAAGACCTGCCAGAAGTCAGTATTGGTGAAATCGAGATTGCTCTTGGTCAGCTTAAAAATGGAAAAGCCCCTGAAGAGGATGGTGTTACAACTGAGCTCTTAAAGGTAAACCCGTACCGAGGGAGCTTCAAAAACTTTTTAATACTCTCCTGTTCGAAGGGAGCGACAAGAGAACTCCATAAGAACTATCGACCCATATCCCTTCTAAGCCACGACTATAAGCTTTCTCAAAAGTGATCGCGAACCGTCTTGCGCAAAGACTTGACGGCACGGCACCATAGACCACATCCACACATTGCAGCAGATTATACGTTTGTGCCTAGCATTTGTAGACTATGAGAAGGCCTTTGACTCGATTGAAATCTGGTCTGTCCTGGAATCCCTGCAGCGTTGACAAGTCGACTGGCGATACATCCAAGTGATTAGATGTTTCTACGAAGCCGCCTCCATGTCTGTACAAGTACAGAATCAGCAAGCAAGTCCCATACTGTTGCATCGTGGAGTGAGACAAGGGGACGTTATTTCCCCGAATTTGTTCACTAATGCAATGGAGGATATGTTCAAGACGCTGAACTGGAAAGGACTTGATATCGACATAAATGGCGAACGCATCTCTCACTTGCGATTTGCAGACATCGTCATCATGGCAGAAACTCTGCAGGTAAACTTGGATAAAACCAAGGTCAGGTTCGATGAACATGTTCTATCGGAACCGAATGCAATACATGGAGCCGTTCTCGAAGTTGTTCAAATCATTTTTAGATGCAAACTAAATTACAGTCGTGTTGATACATGTAGCGCAATCCTACATATCCTATATTGAATCGTAGCTTGGGTTGGGATGAGAATAATAGAACAGTTGGGTTGGTGTATCTTGTCTGGTTTTAATACCTCAACTACCTGCACTAAACAGGTGTCGTTTTACCTCCACTATAGATAGAAAATTTTACTTAATGAAGACTTGAAGAAGAATGAATGTAGATGATAAAAAAACAATACGATTTGCATCCAAAGAATTTTAAATAATCAGTACCCTTAGTACTAGTTTTACGATTACGAAAACAATGATAGTTTTCGTGAGCTCGCACTCGTACTAAGGGTACACATTTTATTGTTTTCGTTTCAATACAAATAAACAGTGCGTCTTCTTAAATTTTAAGTATATTTATTTACTTTTCACCATAATGGACATAGAAACATAATTTACAATTACAAAAATCATGATAGTTTTCGTCTGCACCTTAGAATAAGTTATATTTTTTATTAACGGCCAGTGTCAAGTATTTTTTCTAGGTGCCTACAGTGCTACTTCCTCTCCATTAAACTATTAAGTAATCTATGTCCATGTTGCAAAGTTGTGGGATACCCCTGTATACTTTCACATTTCAAGGTTGGTAGATTAGTCCAGGAAATGAAGCTAAAAAATGGTAAAACCTCGCAATTTTTTCGTCCAGCACCGATTTGTACAAAAATTTGGGATTAGGCTTATTTCACCCTCTAGTTCATTTTCTATATTGTGCCGTTGTACGCTTTTTGTTTTTAGGGGTGAAAAGTAGTTACCTTATTATCAAAAATTATAAAATTAAATTAAAAACTTAAATATGGGTAAAAATAGTTAAAAAAAATATTGTTTCATGCTTTAGGATACAATTTCATAATCTTTCAACCTACCCTAGTTAAACTACCCTTAAAAAAAATTGACATTTTATTCTAGAAAAAAGAAACGGTTTTTTTATCATAGCTAGATTTAATAATAAATTTAATTTAATTTTAGCTCCTTCATTTTTTTAAATTGGTCAAACTTCGTGGATGTATTAATAGTACATATATAAATTGAATTACAGAAGGGTGGCGCTCAATTTTAATTAGGGGGTACTTTAGAGGTTGTTTTCACAGATTTTTTTCGTAGAAAAAATCGGGTACCGATATTATTTTGATCATAAGTCGGTCAATTTTCATGCTAGAGACATTGTTTTTTATTTGTTTGCAAGCTCTAATTAAATACTTTAACAACAATTCTATGAGCTTTCTTCGAATAATGCAATTTTTTCTCGTTATTTTGCTGTAAATCTTCCAATTTATGCATTTGACGAAAAAAGCTAAGCATTAATTTACTGTATGTTAGTTCATATTTGTCATAAAAAGCATTGTTTTGGTTTTTTAAAAGCTACAATTTGACTAGCTGCACTTTTTTGGATAAAATGCATATTTTTAGAATTATTCGCAAAAAAACATTTAAAAAAGTCGATTTTTTTCGTCAAAAATCTGTTACTTTCAACTTTGAATAACTCAAAATATATTACTATATTAAATTTAGTTTTACGAAAAAAACGTATAGGTATGTGTATAAAAATTTTGTCTTAGAATTACTTTTTCCGTCGATTCCTACAGTTAAAATGTAATAAAAAAAATCCACCCTCGTGATGGGGTGGCGTGGCAACCACCCCCAAGGCTCTAGCGTACAGAGGCATGATATAGAAAATGATGCTTGAGCTGTCCCCTACCGTTTGTGAAAATTTCAAGTAAATCCATGGTGGACGAAAAAATTGCGAGCCAAAATGCTTCATTTCCTGGACTAGATAGGTCGCAGAAAATTCTAATTCAATACCAGGTGTATCCTCGATTAATTAAAACCGACCGTAAGAGAAAAACTAGCATTAAACTGAATGATTTAACAAGGAAAGACTGTAATAGCATACATCTAACTTTATTTATTCAAGTAATGTCGTCATGTCAAGCATATTGTAGTAAAAATATATAGTTGAAA